CACGCCCCAATTGGCTGCAACGGCTAGAGCTGTGCTGATTGGAAGCCAGGAGCTTCCTCTGGGTCTCCCATGTGGGTGCAGGGGCCCAAGCACTTGGACCATCCTCTACTGCTTTCCCAGGCCATAGCAGAGAGCTGGATTGGAAGTGGAGCAGCTGGGACTTGAACCGGCGCCCTTATGAGAGGCTGGCACTGCAGGCGGTGGCTTTCCCCACTACGCCACAGCGCTGGCCCCCTCACTTGTTTCTTGATGGGCATTCAAGGGAGTTCTACCTGTGACTGCTGTGAATAAGGCTACATACCTGTACACACTTGTTTAAATGTTTGTTTTCGATCTTTGGATACATTTTTTCAATCTTGGGAACCTGAATCAGTCCTTTGCCCATTTTAAGGCTGGTCTAACCGAATCTTTCATTGTGGTGGAGTGGGCCTAAGTGACATACAGCAGGTCAGCGGTTCTCTGGACCACGGTGGTGTCAAGTTCATTCATGATGTGATGGAACTGGCACAACTGTCCGTTCCCAGCAGCCACGTCTGTCTGGTCTTTCTTCTTTTTAAAGATTTATTTGAAAGAGAGAGAGAGAGAGAGAGATATCTTCCATGTGCTGGTTCATTCCCCAGATGGCTGCAACACCCAGGGCTGGGCCAGGCTGGAGCCGGGAGCCTGGTGCTCCATCTGGGTCTCCCCCGTGGGCAGCAGGGTCCAGGCACGTGGGCCATCTTCTGCTGCTTTCCCAGGCGCATCAGCAAGGACCTGGATGGGCAGTTGTAAGGAGCAGAAATTCAACAGCTGCACCAGAATACCAACAAGAACTAGGCTGACACAGGTGATCCGCAGGGACTGGATATGAACCTCCCGTGGCCTGCACACACCCTCCTCGGGACCTCCTTGGCCTTACACTGACCCCTAAGTGTGTATATAAACTGCAGGCCAGAGAGGCCCAGGGAGACGCCAAACAGACTCTCGCGAGAGCGGCAGGGCAAAAGGCCCAGCTTGACCATTGCTCTCAGACCTTCCTGCAAGAGTGCTCTCCCAGCCAGCCCTGCACCTGCCCGACGCCGAGGCTCTGAGCTCTTCCCAGCTGAGGGTCTACTCGCCCTTGGAGACCTGCATTCCCCCGCTCAGAGGCACCACGCGTGCCGACGCTGTGAGAATCCACCCTCTGTGGCTAAGACAGGAGCGCCGGGGGTACTTCGGGAACCTTGGGTGGTCAGTTTGCCCAGTGCGTTGTGTGAATTAGAATGTGTGACTTCCCCACTGCGTAATAAAATCCTTACTGGAACCAACACAGCCTTGGTGCTGTTACTACACTCAAGACAGAAGTGGAGCAGCTGGGACTCAAACCAGCGCTCATAAGGGATGCCGGCATCACAGGCAGTGCCTTAAGCCGCTGTACCACAGTGACAGCCCCTCTGTCTCGGAGCCAGGAGCTTCTTCCGGGTCTCCCACGCAGGTGCGGGGGCCCAAGGACTTGGGCCATCTTCTACTGCTTTCCCAGGCCACAGCAGCGAGCTGGATCGGAGGTGGAGAAGCCGAGACTCGAACCAGCACCCATATGGGATGCCGGCACTGCAGGCGGCGGCTTTACCTGCTACGCCACAGCGCCGGCCCCAAGTGTCCATTTCTTAACGGTGTGGTCTGTTTTCTTGTTTTTGGGTTGGAAAAGTTCTTTCCACAGTCTGGATACCAGGCGCTCATTAGATACACGACTCGCACGGATCTCCTCCCATTCCCTGGTCTGTCTTCCTTCCTGAGAGCCACACACACAGCACTTCCTCATCCAGACTTTCACCGCCCAGGGTGATGTCAGCCATGTCCGCCGCAGGGTGCTCCTGGCAAACGCCTTCTATTCCTTGCGTAGCAGCTTCGGGTTGGAGATTCAGGGTCTGCAATTTTGGGGAGATTAAGGGAGAGTTCTGCAGCTCTCCCCATCTGTGAGCGCAGGCTGCGGTGTGGCGGGTGTTCAGGGGGAGAAAAAGGGAGCCGGCCCCTGGGGGAGACAGGAAGCTGAGGCAGCAGTGTGTAAGTCGGGACACTGAGGTCTGCGACGGTTGTTCTGTTGCAAGGAGGGGAGAAGAAGCAAGCATTGGCAGGGTTGTTTCTTGGGATCTTCTGCGGGTCTCCTGGACTCAGCCAGGGTCTCCCGTACCTCTCCTTGCAGCCTGAGGTTGGAGAACGCAGGTGGGCAGCTGGGCCTAAGCCACTCCTGTTTATTTCCGGAACAGTGGAAGGTGGCACCCACTAATTCCATCTACCTCGGGCACCGTGGTAAAGCCACCGACGGCAGGGCTGTTTCCAGCCCCCGCTGCTCCACTTCCGATCCTGTTTCCTGCTCATGGTCCCGGGAAAAGCAGCAGGAGATGGCCCAAGTGCTTGGGGCCCTGCACCCCACCGCCCGCGTCGTGGGGACCCAGAAGAAGCTCCTGGCTCCAGCCTGGCCACTGCGGCCATCTGGAGAGTGGGCTCCCTCTCTGTAATCTTTGAAAATCAATCAATACATCATAAAACAAGAAGAAGAATCTACCAGGCAACTTCCCACACTTGCCACCACTTGGAGGCCCAGGTTAGGGAAGCAGGGCGGGCAGCCGTCCCCTGGGTCTGGACCAGCTCTGTGAGTCCGCCGGGCATCGGGCAGGCCCCCTGCCCACGGCCAGGACTCGGTCATGCCCTGGAGAGCCGTCCCGGAGAGCCCTGCCGGAGCCGGCACCCACTCAGGGGCAGATGTGGGAGCAGGAGTGACCCACTCCAGGGCTCCCTGTGATGGGAGAGGCCAACCCGGGGCGGCGCAGGGAGGCTTCGCGCAGATCCGTGGCCCGCCCTTCGGCCCCACGAGCTCGGAGGCCGAGCCCACAGAGGGTGGGCGGCCGGGCTGTGCCCGCACGCACAAACCCGAGAGCGGGGGGCCAGGGACCGCCCCCCAGGCGGCGGCGAGCGCCAGGGGCGGAGGTCTGCGGGCTCGAGGTAGGTGGTCCGCCAGGCCGGCAGGTGGGGCGCCCGGGGGGTCGGAAACCCGGGGGGCGGGCGGTCGGGGCTCCGGGCGGTCGCGCGTGCCAGGGCCGTATCGGGCAGGAGAGACGCCGGCGGTGGGCTCCGGGGCCCCCGATGGACCCTGGGGTAGAGGGGCCGCGGCGGGTGCGCGCGCGCGACGGTGGGAGGTGCCGGAAGCCCGGGTGGCGGCCCCGCCCCCGGCCCGGGCCCCGCCCCCGGCCCGCCTCCCACCGCCCACTCCGCCGCCCGCCGGCTCCTGCGGCTCAGACCTCCCGGCTCGGCAGGCGCGCGGGCGGCGGTAAGTGCGGCGCGGGTGGCTGCCGGGCCTGGGGTGAGGGTTGTTGGGGCGGCGGGGCCGGGGAGGCAGGGCCCTGCGGTCCCCGCACCTGCCGCAAGGCCCTGGACCCGGCGCCCTGGTCCGGGGGCCCCCGGGGTCCGTCGGGCGGGCGTGGGCGTTGGGCCGCGGGGCAGCTTGGGCTCGGCTGCTGGCCTGGCAGCGGCGAGTGGCCCGCATCCCCACGCTGGGAGAGGGCGCCCCGGGGTTTTGCAGGAAAAGGCGCGCTTCGCCGCCGTGGCCGCGGAGCCCGACGTTGAACCTCCCAGAACCGACACCCGGGGGTTCGGAAACAAAGACGAAACCCACTGCGTTTCCGTAGTTCCCGGGGGTCCCACGCGGGATCCGGGACCACCCCCCAGCAGCTGCCTCTGTGGACCCTCGCGGGCTCAGGTGCCCGGAGAGGCGAGAGTCGGGGACACTGCGTCGCGGGGTGGGCGCGGGGCAGCGCAGGGGCCCACCGATGGCCGGACGCAGCAGGTCCCGCCGCAGATGCCGCCCGATGCGTGGTAGATGCGGGACGGGCGCGGGACCGACGGCCCTCCCCGCGGCTTCCTAGGTCAGGGCTTTGCTGTCAGCGCAGTGGTCCTGTTTCGCCAGCCGCCTGGGCAGAGTCGGGGTGGGGGTGGGGAGTGGGCGTGTGCGGCACGGGCCGCGCTCCCGGGATCCGGCCGGCTGGATCTTTTTTGAATGATTTCCTGGTTGTTTTTGTGCTTCCGGAGAATGGGGCTGGTGGCGCTGGCTGCCGGACTGAGCTGTGTGGGTGGATGGGAAGTCCAGTTTCTGGAATGCGCAGAGCCTCCTGGGTGCCTGCGGGTCCTCCCCTGGGGCCCCTCTGCGCTGTTGCTGCTGGGTCCGGGGAGGGGGGGGGGGCTCCTTCCAGGAGAGGTCTGATTTGTAGCAGCCGGTGTTGGACCGGCCGCCTGCCCACCGGGCCCTGCTCCGACTCCTGCCTTCCCGGAGCAGCCCAGATGCTGTAGAGAGAGGTGCGGGCTGCTGTCTGGCCCTCCTCCAGTGTTCGGTTTTATCAGCTGCATCAGGAACAGAGGGTGTGGGACTTGCTCTGCCCGGCATGGAACGCCCCTTGTGCCTTTGGCTTTCGCAGCCAGCCTGCTCCGGCCCTCGGATCTAAATGTGCACCAAACGAGAAGCCTGGGAGATGCCCGCCTTCCCTGCCACTCTAAGGCGTCCCTAAGGGCTGCTTGCATTCACGTTTGAAGAGTTCCCCCCGGCTGCATTGTTACCGCGGGTTTAGTGACTCAGGGACTGCTCTCAGGTTCGGCGTCGGTTTCTCTGTCTCTCAAACACTAGGTTGAGATCATCAGCTGTGTTGGGCGCATCCATTTGTCTTTGTTCCTTCTTCCCCGCTTGGTTGGGCTGGTGCCTGTGCAGGAGCAATGGCTCCTGGCCCCGAAGGGCTCACGCCAGGGGTGGACAGAGGAGGCAGGGCTTGGCACTGCCCTGGTAACTGTGGAAGGTGCTTGGGAGGAGTGGAAAGCCGGGAGCCAGGGGAGTCGGGGAAGCTTCGTGGGGAAGGTGAGGCTTGGCCCTGTGGCGGGAGGGGCACGTGGAGGGGTTCAAGCAAGCAGAGGGCCCTGGGTGGGGTGGGGGGGAGGCGGAGTGCGGAGGAGGTGCAGACAGGCCCAGGTTGAGGACTGAGCGAGGGGCACCCGCAGGGAGACGCTTTCTGTGCAGGTTTAGTTCTCAAGAAGGGAACAGCCTAGGCTTCGCCCCGTTGATCCGAGACACTGTCCGTCCCACTGGGAGAGCGGGCAGGCGTCCGTCTCGGGCTCAGAGAGGAATGTCCGCAGAGCCGCAGTGAGAGTGGAAGCAGCCGGTCCCTAAGAGGAAGTCCTAGAGACTTGGCACTGCGCCTGGGCCTCTGTTTGTTTTTCCTTTTGCTGTCCTGAACATATAGCCCAGGGAGCCAGGTAAACAGAGCTCCTGAACACTGTGTGCACGGACACACACAGCCCCTTTGGCCAGCCGGGGCCTGTTCTGGACCTGATGCGTGTTTCCTGGGTCCTCGCGGTTTCGTGTTACTGTTTGTAGTGGGTGGAGTTGTTTCTAGAAATGTGTTTGATTTTACAGGGTTCGCAGGGGTGGACGGCTCTGTTTCCTCATTCTCATAAGGTCCACGTTACGAAAGGCTAACCAGAGAGAAGCCTGACACTTCATTTCGTCTGCGGTCAGGCTAGTGTTGGTGGCACCCAAAGGACCTGGGTTCCACTCCCAGCTCTGGCTCCTGACTCCCACCTCCCACCGGGGCAGACCGTGGGAGGTTGTAGGGGACAGGGTTCCTGCCATACGCCTGGGAGACCTGGGTTGTGTTCCTGGCTCCTGCCCTGCACCAACCCCATCCATTCCTGGCCTTCGGGAAGTGGACCAGCGGCTGGGAGGTCTCTCTGCCACTCTGGGTGACACGGGGGACCCAGGGAAGAGAGTGCACTTCCACGTTTAGGCTTGATGGGTGTGAACAGACAGCTGTGCAGAGCTGTGGTGAGTCCAGGGGGTGTGAGCTAATGGTGGTGGACTCGGAGGACCGCAGCGCCCCTCGGCTGTTCCCCTTCCTGTGGCCTCCTCGCGCCGCACCCCTTCCTCTTGCAAAGGGCAGAAGCGCTGGGAATGAGGAACTTGGGGTGCAGTCTCAGAGTGGTGCCGTGTGTCCCCAAGGCCGGGACAGTGAGATCACTGCTTTGAGCCTCAGTGGCTGGTTTGGGGAGCGGGGTCCTGGGCTGGCTGACTGCGGTGATGAAAAGGGAACTGGAGTTTCTGCGAGCAGCCCCCCCCCCGGGGGGTGGTCCAAGGCTTTGCTGCTGGGGCCTTCCGGGTCCTGTTCAAAGTCCTTGCGCTGGCGTGCCTTGCTCTGGGAGGTCTGAGCCCCGGCAGGTGGAAGGCCGGGTGGAGAAGGTACCTGGGTGCTGCCTGTTCTCTCACTGCGGTGGGGCGTCAGATCCACAGGCTGGGGCGTCTGAGAAAGGGACCATGGGAAGTTCCGCCACGCAGCCCTGGGGTTTGGACTTGACCATGTTCCCCGGGTGTGTTCGAGCAGAGCATTGCCTTGCCTTAATGTTTGAGAGGCAGAGTTACAGACAGAGGGAAAGGCAGAGAGAAAGGTCTTCTGTCTGCTGGTTCACTCCCCAGATGGCCACAGCGGCCGGAGCTGCGCCGATCTGAAGCCAGGAGCCAGGAGCTTCTTCCGGGTCTCGCATGCGGGTGCAGGGGCCCAAGCACTTTGACCCATCTTGTACTGCATTCCCAGGCCATGGCAGAGAAGAGCAGCCAGGACTCGAACCGGCACCCATAGGGGATGGGACGGATGCTTAGCCCACCACGCCACAGTGCCGGGCCCCGTTGCCTTAATCTTGCGTCCAGTGAGGTTGCTCATAGACAAGTGTGCTGATTCCTAAGATTTTGTATTGAAAAGTAGTGGTGTGGCAGTAGGTGTGGAAGCTAAGAGCATCGGGCCCAGCATAAAGCCCAGACACTGCCCCGGCCAGCCCTCCGACTTGGGGGCTGTCGTCTGCGCTTGTGCCTATTTTCTCCGGCCCTTGTGGTGTTTTGCCAAAACCCTTCATTCAAGCGGCACCTCAGAATGCGGCCATGCGGGAGTCCAATGGAAATGCTTTTCCTGCCGCAGATCCGTAACTTGGAGCTGGGTCTGAACCTGGTGCTGGCATGTGGGAGCTTCGCCGTGGGGGACAGAGGGCCCCTGAAGACGCAGGCTGACATCACAGGATGAAACTGGTCGGCCCCGGGCTCGCTCCCTGGTGGATTTCACTCTGTGTGCCCCCACCCCGCCCCTGCCGCCGAGGAATGCTAACGTGGAATTTTTTAGTTTCTGCCATCCTTTCTCAGAGAGAACTGGAGGTCTCAATGCCCCCTCTCACTGTGTCCAAATCCTTTCTTAAGATTTCAGAAGCACCATTGAGGGGCGGGTCTTTGGCATGCAGTCCAGCTGCCCGCTTCCACATCCGGGTCCCGGGGTCGGACTCCCAGCCCTGCTTCCTGGCCAGCTCCTTGCTAACGCCCCTGGCAAGGCAGCGGAAGATGGCCCAGGTCCCTGGGCTCCCGGAGGAGTTCCTGGCTGTCGTGGGCGTTTGGGGAGTGAACGCTCCCTTTCTGTCTTTTTGTAAAAAACATTCACTGGGGCCATTTTCTAGCACTTTGTGCAGGTTAAATTTCAATACAACAAAAAGGCGTTGTGAAATCTTTGTATTTTGAGGAAGGCCTGCGGGTAGCCCTTAGTCAAAGATTTTTAAGCAGTCTTCTTCGCCTTAATAGTTAATAAACACTCAGGACAGTGCCTTAGGGCTGACAGCAGTGAGCCTTCTAGAAGGTTTCCTCTGGCCCCCGAGGCTGGTTGTGTTTACAAACTGGGCTATTGTCTCAGAGACGGACGATTTGCATGTGAGTGCCCTTGCTTTGCCTAAGGAATCCACTTTTTTTCCTGGGGTCAGTGCGGTGCGGGTCCCTTGGGGAACCTTGCTCAGGGCTGCCTGGAATTGAATTATTCTCCTTTTTCTTTGTGAAAGAAGTGATTTTAGGGGATTAAGTTGCTGGTTCCAAAGCCGCTGGGCTGAGCCCAGACCTACTGGGGGAACCCAGTGCTGTAGCCAGGGGCGAGAGTGTATTTTTAGATTTACCACCCACCTGTGGTTAAAAGGGTTTGGAAATCTGCATCTTAGAGGAGGGGCCTTCAGCTGGGCGGCTTTGGGCCCGTCCCGGAAAATCGTCTTTTTTTTTTTTTTTCCCCCCAAATTCTGGAGTATTTCTCGCTTGCTTCTTGCTCACTTCTTCAACCAAGGAAATCAGCAACTTCCTCTTCCGACCCCCAGGCCGCTTAATCTGCGACACTTAACCAGAATGTGCTTTTGGAAAACAAGCTAGACAGAAGTGTGGATTTTTAAAATTGGAGCCCTGGGTGCGGCCCGCCCGTGGCGGTCACGGCTCCTCGGCCACACACCTGTGCCCCACCTCAGTCTCCCTCCGTCGTCACGCTGGAAACAAATCCGGGACCGGAACCCACGCTCCATCCAGGAAGCGCCGGTTGTCGCTTTCTCCCTGTCCATCTCCCTGTACCCCTGTGCTGGGGCCCGGCCCAGGGACCAACGTGTGCCGCCCCCAGTCTCCTCCGCAGCCTCCTGGGCCGAGGGTCGCCCGCACTTTGCCGGCTTCTCCCGATAGCGCTGAGCTGCGGGTCTCGGGGAGGAGCGAGGCCTTACCGCTGCGGGCGCTGGTTCTGAGCGGAGGGGCTTGAATCCATCAGGCCGGCCTAGTGCTAACCGTGGCTCATAGCTTCCCTGGGGGAGGCTGCGTGGTGCCGGCTGCTCCACTTCCTGTCCAGCTCCCTGCTACTGCGTCTGGGAAAGCAGTGGAGGATGCCCAAGAGCGTGGGCCCCTGCCACGGACATAGCAGACCCAGATGGAGCTCCAGGCTCCTGGCTTAGGGCTGGCACACGGCGCTGACACTCAGCCAGCAGCCATTTGGGGAGTGAACCAGTGGATGGAAGATCTCTCTCTTTCTCTCTCTTTCTGTACCCTTACCTTCCAAATAAATAAATTATATAAAAAAAAATTAGCTCTCCTGAGAACCCGGCAGGTGGGGGGTTCTGTTTTGCTCTGCATTGCCCTGGGGAAGGGCCCTCCTCACCCTGCCCCATCAGAGGGGACAGAAGGGACACGCTGGCAGCATGGCACTCCCACGATGGGACCCTTGCACACAGGATCTGGGTGGTGTCTGCCCGCCTTAGCTGCTCTATGTCCTGCATGCTGCTCTGTGAGAGGCCCCAAGGGCACGCGAAGGGGGCGGTCAGCAGGTGGGGGGGAGGAAGTGGTGTCTAATGTCTGTCCGTAGCCCAGAGAGCCAGCTGTGGTTGACGGGCAGCAGCTGAGTGAAGACAAGAGGGCAGGAGTGTGCCCAGCGGTGCGGGGATGTGGTGGGCACAGGCTGTGCCCATGCGTGAAATGCCACACCGTTCGCCACGGGTGGAAGACTGCCGTGTCACCATGACGCAGCGCCGAGAGTGGCCGGCCCCCAAGTGCAGCCTGGGTCAGGGCGGGGTGGGGGGGGTCTCCACGGGGCGCCCCGCGGTCTGAGGACAGTCTCTCCTCACTTACCTCTGGCCTAGCGGTTAAAACGCCATCTGGAGGGCCTGGGTCAAAAGTCCCAGCTCCTCCGCTTGTGACCAGCTTCCTGCTGGTGCGCACCCCACACCCTGGGAGGCGGCAGTGATGGCCCAAGGACTTTGGCCCCTGCCACCCTCGTGGGAGACCCGGATGTAGCTCCTGGCTCTGGGGTTTGGCCTGGCCCAGCCCTGGCTGTTGCGGGCATTTGGGGAGTGAACGAGCGGCTGGCAGATCTCTCTGCCTATTAACTAAATATAATAAGTAAACTTTTTTACAAAAGGTAGACAGTTGTAAGGCATGCACGCTATGAATATGCTTGTGCCTGGGCTGTGTGTGTCGTGCAGAACTTTCCCTAGGCCCCCGTGGGAATCCAGAGAAATCCAGAGCACGGCCCCTCCCCTGGGGCACAGCCTGGCGCAGTGGGGGGAATAGTGGGAGGGAGGCCGGCTCCCGTGGGGTGGGGCAGGCCCTGAGGTGCGTGCGGTGCCTTCCGTGGCCCTTGGTGGGGCTGGTGGTGGGACCAGCGTTCTCCCCGGTGTTCCAGGAGGTGCCTCCGGGCAGATGCCCCGGAAACTGGCCACCCCTGCAGCTCCGCACACGGCGCTGACACTCAGCCAGCAGCCGAGCGGAGGTTGGGAGGCTGACACAGAGGGCACTGGGGCGGGGGGCGGGGAGGGGGGACGGATGAGGAGCTCGGGGGCAGTGGCGACTCGTGTGGAGAGTGAGTGGACCTGCAGACAGGTGACTGTGCCGAGGCCTTGGGTCTCTCCTGTGAGATGAGTCACTGCCCGTGACGTCGATGAGGAGGAGGAGGATGACGAGGGAGGACGGCACCGGGGGAGGAGATCCGGCACCGGCAGTTCTTCCCGGAGGATCCGGTCTCCAGGCAGATCCCGGAAATGCAGAAAAGGCCCCTCCCTGGGCTGCCGGCTGCGGGAGGAGCAGGGCCTGAGAGCTTGGCTGTCCCTTAGCGCTGTGCTTTGGGGTGTGTGTGTGTGTGTGTGTGTGTGCTAAAATATTTCTGTATTATTTAGTTGGAAGGCAAAGTGACAGGGGGAGAGAGGGAGGCAGAAAGAGGTCTTCCACTGGCTGGCTCACTCCCCCAGATGGTCACCACAGCCACCTGGAGCTTCATCCAGGTATCCTGTGTGGGTGGCAGGAGCCTTCCCAGGCCATGAGCAGGGCAAAGAGCTTGCGATAGGGGTGCCAGCCCGGCCAGTGCTGGGTTAGCCAGCAGGGCTACCGCGCCCGCCCCGGGTGCTGTTTTCTGAGCCCCAGCCCTCCCTCCCGGCCAGGCTGTGTTGTTAGGACCCCTTGTGGGGATGGAGTGTACAGGGGTCGCAGGATCGATCCCCCCCAGTGGACGTCAC